TTTCTGGTCGAACGGGGAGCCACCCATGCTCGCCGTCCGCAGGCCCGCGCTTATAGTGGCCGGAGATCGTCCCGCGATCCTTTTTATATTACAGACTAGCTATTCCCCACGTCTTCGTCCGCATAGCATATTAGAATTTTAAAACAACGTTTTGTTGTTTCATTTTCCAAAATAGAAGTAGCCTATGTTTACTACTTAGTACATCAGCTACCTGTCAATAGAAGTTGCAATATCTGTTCAGGTATTCTACAGATGAGCCTAGCCAGCACGGACAGATATACAAATATAAGCTCTGTTAATGAAAATGTACGAAAATATACAACAATGCTATAAAAATATGCAGATACAAATGTATGACTTGACTGCTTCGTTGTCCGAGTGGTCGCAAGTGCGACTGCCGGGCAAGGGGTCTCGGGTTCGATTCCCGCGTCAGGCAAAGTATTACTGGGTTTTTAAAAATCTCCGTAGTAGCACGGAGTCTGGAAATGTGCCCGGTATATGGCAATAGGCTTACCCCCAATGATATTATAAATAATAAAAAGAGGTAGATATCGCACTGGCACGCAAAAATTGTTGCGAACGAATTCAGACAATTGTCGTAATTTGTAAATAGCTATCTCTTTCAGTACCATACTTTCCGTATTATCTGTCGCACGTAGTTGAAAATGACATTTAAGTACATTTGTAATAAGAACGCAACAATTTTTGGACTCCGCTTAGTATGAACGTAGCGTATCTTCTTTATAATATCATTGCTTACTTGGCCTATTACATGGGACTCATAACATAAATAGTGAAAAGTGAGTGTTACATTGTACAGTGGCATTAGGTGCCGAAATGTACACCTCTGCCTACCCCTTTGGGGATAAAAAGGCGTGATGTTATGTTGTGTATGCTACAAGACAAGAAAAATATGCAAATATGATTTGCATATAATCTGATGTCTATTTACGACCAAATTCAGAACTTCATAAGTTCTCATTTTATTATAGCTACTAGACTGCCAGAGCGGAGTGACTGCAAATTAAACAACTGAGGATGGAGCTCTCGCATTCGAGCAAATAGTCGTGACGCAATGTCTAAAGGCCGTGTACATTATCAGCACAGGGTCTTTTGAAGCCTTGACGAAGTATCTCAGAGCGAGACAATTGTTTGTCAAACGAAGCAACCTAATGTTTTGCTGGTAATGAAACTATAACTTGACATTAAATCGGTCAACGCCATCTATCGAGCTATACGAAGGGGGCATACAGCGCCTTGCGTGTTCAATACAACAATGCGTTCAGAATGTTGAATGGACTGCCACATTTTTGTAGTGCATCAGCCATGTTTGCAGAGGCCAGAGTTGATGGGTTCCATGCAATCATACACAAACGTTGCGCGTCCCTCCTCCGCAGAATGCGTGGCAGTTCACACAGCATCTTGAGCGTATTGTGTGATAAATGGGATAGCCCAATGTTGGGCCATTGGATTAGACTGCACGCGGCTGTAAAGTAGAATTAGTTTTGTTTATTTATATTATATTAAAGTCAAAGTCAAAATCATTTATTTCAATTAGACCAGAAAGGCACTTTTGAACGTCAATAATAAAATTAGAAGTGAAGCTATTTGCTCATTCCAAGGTGTAGATTCCTATGGAGAAGAACGAGCAAGAAACTCCATAGGTTACTCTTTTTCAATCAGGTTCACAATACAATTCTCTAGTTACATAGTTTGCTGTTTGGATTGTGCGAGAACAATGTAACACCAAAATCTAGTCAAAGTGATTGAAAAAGAAAATAACCTTAAAGACAATAAATAATACAGTCTGGAGCTGACCAGTCCCAGTTGACGGCGCCCGTTCACGAACATGACACGTACACCAGCACCGCCCAAATCAACCATATTGTAGGGAATCGAGCGATCCACTGCACGCGCCACCGCCAATGAGACCTTTGAGTGAGCATGACAACTCCACGCTGACACAAATGCATTCTACTAGTCTAATTTAATATTAAGTTAATTACAGGGCTCTCACATTCACAATGGTTATCTAAGTTAAACAATACACAATTTAGCAAAATGGCTGTAGGTATTATTTACAATTTCATTAAAACATCAGTGTTTTTTGTTATCCTGTGGAGCCGGACTAGCCTGTATCCAAGCATTTTTATCAACTAAATAATCATTAAGTTTGTAATATGCTTGTCTACATAAAGTTTTCTTTATACATAATTTAAATTTTGATTCATTTAGGTGTTGTATGTCGCCTGGTATCTTATTATAACATTTAATACAGAATCCCATGAACGACTTACTTACTTTCGCCAGTCTCGAAATTGGCTGACTTAATCTATTTCCATGTCTAGTTTGATAGTGGTGTCTGTCCGACACTCTACCAAATAACTGTAGGTTTTTCCTAACATAGGTACATGATGTTTTCATAAATAAATTGACATGGAACGGTCATAATGTTGATCTCCTTAAACCTTTCTCTGAGAGATTCGCGACGACCTAGATTGTAGATAGCTCTGACGGCGCGCTTTTGCAATACAAAGATAGACTCAATGTCAGCAGCGTGTCCCCACAGCAAAATGCCATACGACATAATGCTATGAAAGTAACTGAAATACACTAGTCTTGCCGTGTCTATGTCAGTTAACTGTCGTATCTTCCAGACAGCATACGCTGCAGAGCTCAATCGTCCCGCTAATGATGTAATGTGAGGACCCCATTGCAATTTGTCGTCTATAGTAATTCCCAGGAAAGTTGTCTCTTTTACAAACTCTAATTTCTCACCATTCAATAATATTATGTCACATTCGTTGCTTTTAACATTTGGCAAAACAAATCTAATACATTTTGTCTTTTTATTGTTTAGTACTAGGTTATTTAATGTAAACCAATTTTGAATTTTAATTAGGGCATTATTTACGTTGTCATAATTATTTGTGCGTCTATTTATTTTAAAAACTAATGAAGTGTCATCAGCAAATAATACCATCTGCTAAATTACTAACAATAGGTTAAGCTCATTGTTACTAACAGTTTATGGACTCTTGGTCTGAAATAAATGATTAATAATGTAGGCAGTGCCGTATTTGCCATGATTGCACTCGGCCCCCGATGGACCGACAATTTTACAACTGACACGGCAACAGGTTGCCGCGCAACTTGTATCGGGTTCGATTCCCGCACGGTGCAAATCTGTGTGCTCCACAAATTGTTGTTCCGGGTCTGGGTGTCATGTATATGTGTACGTGTCTGTAAATGCGCCCACGATAATGGAGAAAATTCTAGTGTGGGGGCAAAGTTTTAACAAAACAAAAAATAAGAAAACACTGACTGCCTCGTTGACCGACCGAGTGGTCGTAAGTGTGACTGCCGTTCAAGGGGTCTCGGGTTCGATTCCCGGGTCGGGCAAAGTATTACTGGGTTTTTTATATATAAGTATATTCTCAGTAGTAGCACGGAGTCTGGAATTGTACCCGGTATATGGCAATAGGCTCACCCCCTATTACATGGGACTCGTAACATAAATAGTGAAAACTGGGTGTTACATCGTACAGTGGTATAATGTGCACCTCTGCCTACCCCTTCGGGGATAGGCGTGATGTTATGTTATGTTAAAAAATCCTTACTAATATTATAAATCAGAAAGTGAGTTTGTTTGTTCCGCTTTCACGCCGTAACTACTAATCCGATTGCTTTGAATTTTTGCAGACGTAAAGTCCGGATTAAATAATAGGGTACTTTTTATCCCAGATAAATTTGATATTCCCGAGGGAAAACAAAAGTATTGGTATAGATGGCGCTGTGTGTAATGGTATATGTCACATAGGCTACTTTTTATCCTTTTGTGACGCGAGCGAAGCTGTGGGTAAAAGCTAGTAGAAAAATAAAGAGTTAAAATTACAAATAGTTTATTATAAACAAATATCTATAATGGGTCTACAATAGCCTTATAAATAAAACATTACACAACAATATATTTTGGAACAATATCGTCTTGAATCAGCGTTACGACCGTCAACGGCTTTGGAAAATCACATAGAAGTTACTGTTAGCATAACCGACAGGTTTCGTATAGAAAATTATCCATAAGTCGTACTCAAATATCGTGCCGTCTCTGTCGTTTTACAAAGAGTTTTTAGAGACAGAACTATACATACTTTAACCGCGACTTAACTTGAGTACTTGCCAACTAATCACATACAATACTTTCTATCGAACTATCAAAAACGAGAGTTTTCTATGAATTTTGTACGAGATTGTGTATTGTGACGTTACGATTTTAAGCGTCAAACAGCATACTTATTTCTTAAAAATTTGCTGGAAATATACTAAAATTAAGTTGGTCATAAAATCAATTAATGAAAGTGTGATTATGTTTTAATATTTTATTGTATTAAACAGTCGAAATAATTTATTTTTGATTAAGAAAATACCGTGGTGGCCCGGAGGTTTAAGACGCCCGCTACGCATGTATGAGGGTGCGAGTTCGAAACCTATCAACGGCAAGTTCCAATGTGAATTTTTCCGAGTTATACATACTTTGTAAGTTTATCTAGACACCACTGACAAACGGTGAAGGAAACCTGGGCTTATAATTACTAATTATAAGTTTGTAATCGGCAACCCTCATTAAGCAAGCGTGGTGATTAACTCGTCGAGTACCGGTTTTATAGACACAATTAAAGAACAATAGGTCGCGGTCACCGGTGACCGCTTGGTGTTTGACAGTTTAATTCGCGCTTAATTTGACTGCACGTTGGCGCAGTGGTTGGGCAACTGCCGCGGAGTGCCGTGCAACGTATCGCGGGTTCGATTCCCGCACGGAGCAACTCTTTGTGTGATCCGCAGATTGTTGTTCCGGGTCTGGGTGTCATGTGTATGTGTACTTGTATGTTTGTAAACGCACACACGACACAGGAGAAAATCCTAGTATGGGGGCAACGTTTTTTAAAGAAAAAAAATTATATAAATAATAGTTCTGTTACTACAAATTGTTTGCAAAACGACTCCATATTTAAGTACAACTTAAACAAACTTGAGTATTCTTCCAGTATTCGGACGTTAATCATTTAATTTAGGTTGCCTTAGCCTTCGAGGGCGCGTCTTATTTTCCGTCAATTTCCCAGGACTTGTTGCCCTCTTCAAAGCCCTATCTTTATCGTCCTTCCTAGACGTCCTGGGCGCGTCTAGATTTTTTGAATTTTCCTTTTGCGACACAGCTTTTGGCGTCGAAAATTCGTGTTCCAAATTTTTCACTATACCCTTTCTGAGAGACGACTTAGAGTATGTTTTTATAGTGTTCATCGGAGTGAAGAATTGTTCCGGAGTCGACATGGGAGTGAAAAATTCATTGCATTTATCAGTTTTCTCGTTGACCGGTGTTTTAGCCGTGTCCGTAACGGTAATCACCGGTTTTCTTGACGGTCTCGGCGTTAAGATCTCTAAAACCGGTTTCGATGTGACCGGAACTGGTATTTTGAATTCCGATACCGGTTTCCTAGGTTTCGGTTTCTCTTCTTTCTCGTCTGAACTATTCTCGTCGAGGTTGAGTTTTATAACTTTGCGTTTTTTCGGTAATTCCTCATCTTTGACTTTTCTCGCCGATAATTGGGGGAGTTTGGCCTTCGATACTGGTGTTTTATCCCCCTCCATCTTCATTTTGGGGCTTAACTTTAGATTTTCGAACTCCGATTCTAAATCAAACTGCTGTTTTTTAACCACATTCCTTAGCCTAGCAGACGCTATCATCAAATTCATAACTTCATTGCTCAAATAGGCATCATTTTCTTTGAAATCTTGGCAAATTTCATGTATGGTCACAATATAATCGTCGGCCGCATCAAAATTCCCATTTTTGAGCTCAAAAAAAGACGCTTCGATCAAAATTTCTAACTTAACTTTCCTAAATTGGTCCTCAAACATACTTCTAGTGTAATCCACTACATACTTATCGAAATCCAACTCTGTATATGACGTCAAAACAGCCTTTAACTTCGCATCGAAACAGCCGAACGAATTGATGACGCCTTTGAAGTAATTTTTGGCTATTTCATGTTCGTTCGCCCGGAAATACATGGCGGCTTCCAACCCAGCTGTTATGTAGAAAATTATCATACAATATGGGTTGACGCAGGCATAGCAATCACATGCTGTATGTCTGAAGAACTCTGGCAGTATGAAGCCTGGTATAGTGACATATTTCCTGGTCGGGCTGACTTGTGACTTGAACGCTTGGCACTCCAGCATCGTCTCAAAGTCTTGTTTCGGCGCAAACATTGGTACTTTAGCTTCAGTTGGTATTATTGGCGGATCGCTTGAAGGAGGTAACCCTAGGATGTACTTTAGCCGGTTGTCGATTTTGACCTGCAACGAAATTAGGATAAAAATTAAACTAGAGTTTTATGTCTCTTAGATAACTGTTTAATGTTCATTATTGCCTCGTTGGCCGAGTGGTCGCAAGGGGTATCGAGTTCGATTCCCGGGTCGGGCAAAGTATTACTGAGTTTTTAAAAAAATAATTCAAGTAGTAGCACAGTGTCTGGAATTGTGCCCGGTATATGGCAATACGCTCACCCCCTACTACATGGGACTCATAACATAAATAGTGAAAGTGGGTGTTACATTGTACATTGGCATTAAGTGCCGTAATGTGTACCTCTGCCTACCCCTTCGGGGATAAAAGGCGTGATGTTATGTGAATGTTCATTACAAAGCAAGAACTTCTTAAAGCAGATACTAGCTTCAAGAGATGTAATGTTGATTTTTTTCTTAATAACTTCGCAATCGATGAAAGAACAAATACAAAACAAGGCACAACATTTACTTCATCTAGACAACTAATTTTATAGCTAGTAATTATTTAAATATTCCCATTAGAAAGAAAAAGGTCTGGCTGGGGTAACGTTACCCCAGCAGGAAATGTTTTTGTGAAATAACAATTGTAAAATACTATAAGCGCAACAAACTTAAATATGTGCGCAACCATTACAGAAGCCGCACAACTAATTATCTATAAGATCCAAATGACCATTTTCGACAACATCTGGCCTGGGTAACGGACACGCCAAGCAGCAGGCAGATCATCTGATAGCAAGCAAGCCTGACGCCGGCTCTAAGGATTGGGTACTTAACCTAGTCAAAAATAAGTGATTCCGACTGTTCAATACAGTATAATATAAAAAAATTGTCATACTTTCATTCATTGATTTTATGACCGACTTAATTTTAGTATTTTTCTATTATATTCTTAAGAAATAAGTATAAATTTGTACGAGATTGTGTATTGTGACGTCACGTTTTTTTAACATCAAACAGCACACAATTTTTTTTTAATTTGCTACAATTTCTTAAAAATTGCTTGGTCATAAAATCAATTAATCAAAGTGTGATTATATTTTAATATTTTATTGTATTGAACAGTCGAAATAATTTATTTTTGATTAAGAAAAGTACCCGAATGAGTAAGTAGCAAAGTAGGCCGACTTCAAAAAAGAGGGGGTTGAATAATTAAAAGTATATTGACCTGAGCGTCGTCCACCTTATGCACATGCACGATATCCCCGTAGACGCGGGCCTGCACGGCCCCCGCGCAGTGCGGCGCGGCCACGCCGGCCGTGCTGCGCGCGCGGCGCCAACACGCCAGCGCGCGACACACGCGCACGGCGCGCGCGCTGCACCGCGACACGCCGAGCTTTATTGACACCGAGCGGAGGCGACGGGCTGTCCACTTTGATACTGTTTAAGACAAATACATAAAAAATTGTTTACTTACTGCTGTGATTTTTTTAATCGTTGCCCCGCTCTAGTATTTTCTCATATGTCGTGTTTACGTTTACGAACATACAATATACACATACACATGACACCCACACCAAGACTAAACTTTGATGTAATTTGTCTATCAGAACATCCGTTTAAGGAGGACCAAGTAATAAAAAATTTAGATAATTACAATGTAGTTAGTAATTTCAGTAGAAAGCATATATGTTACATGGTGGGTCCTTAATATTAGTAAAAAATTGTATTAAATCAAAAGGAAGGAAATATATAGTAGCACTGTCAGTTGAACACACCATTAAGTTGTCCTGTGTTGAGCTGGATAGATATGTTATTGTCTGTGTGAATAGGATAGGCCACCTAACTATCAGAATCTTACAGTATTTGATTCTGTCATGGAAGATGTTTTAAGGAAGGTTTGTTCTAGTCACAAATCAGTAATTATATGTGGGGATTTTAATATTAATTTAGAAAATAGTACTAATAGTATGGAATTGTTCAAAACTCAAACTCAAACTCAAAAGCATTTATTTTAATTAAACCATAATTTGGTACTTTTGAAACGTCAACATAAATATGAAATAAATAATAGTCTGTCAGTCTGTCCGTCAGTGAAGCTAGGCGCTCGTTCCAAAATGTCGATTCGAGTGGAGAAGAACGAGCAAGAAACTCCATTTGTTGTTAAATCTATTTGGATCATTTAATTTGAAAAATGTTTTTTTTTTAGAACCAACAAGGATAACATCCTCTACCGCCACCTGTATTGGTAATGTTTTCTGTAATTGTGACTACAAAGAAAAACATATTATAAATAGCTTGCCATCCGATCATTGTGGACTAATGGTTGCGTATAGCTCTTATTTACCTATCTTAAAAATTCAAGTAAGATTTAGACAAATTACGTTCAAAAATTTGGAGAAATTGAGCAAATTATTTTTTTTTTATTTCTCCAAATTTTTGACGATTAAGAAACCCAGAATTTAATTTAAATACCGAAAGGGGACAGATTTCATCAAACGTAGAGTGCTAGGGCCAATTGAAGTGTTTTTCTATTTAATTAAATAACTTTTAAGCTATGTATTATTTTGGTTCTTTTATTGCACAACAAATTTAAATTAATTTCTAAGAAGCCATGTGCAAAATATGATAAGAATCCGCTTAACCATTTCAAAGATCTAGCAAAATCAAAATCGTTACCCCAGCAAAATCTCGAAAAACTTCGCAACCGATGAAAGAACAAATACAAAACAAGTCACAACATTTACTTCATCTAGACAACTAATTTTATAGCTAGTAATTATTTAAATATTCCCATTAGAAAGAAAAAGGTCTGGCTGGGGTAACGTTACCCCAGCAGGAAATGTTTTTGTGAAATAATTAAAAAACTATAAGCGCAACAAATTTAAAACACAAATTACAGAAGCCGCACAACTAATCCTTATCCTTACTATAATATTATAAATCGGAATGTGAGTTTGTTTGTTTGTTCCGATTTCACGCCATAATTACTAAACTGATTGCTTTGAATTTTTGCAGATGTATAGTTAGAAGTCCGGATTAAATAATAGGGTACTTTTTATCCCGGAAAAATTTGATATTCCCGAGGGAAAACAAAAGTATTGGTATAGATGGCGCTGTGTGTATTAGTATATGTCACATAGGCTACTTTTTATCCTTTTGTGACGCGAGCGAAGCCGCGGGTAAAAGCTAGTTATCTATAAGATTCAAATGACCATTTTCGACAACATCTGGCCTGGGTAACGCACACCAAATGTAGTCAGCAGTTAGATTCCAATAGTAGGTAATTTAATACTTTCATTCTAATGCAGACAATCTAGTTTCCTTATGGCACCGAGCATTTCTTTCTTTATTGAAACAAAGAGTTTTCTTTTTCTTCAGCAATAAGCTCACCCCTATAACATGGAACTCCTAGCGTACTGTTAGAAATTGTGATATGTTTTTGTATGTGTAATAGACCAACATTAAACTGATATTTGAACATATTAAAATGTATTTTAAATTGAAAGTTTTTATTTAACTTGATGTAAGGTAGGTAGGTGATATAAGTCCACAACGTAAAAGTAAAAAGTCGCCTTTGTGCACCTGGGTGAAATAAATTGACAAGTGAACAAAGGAGACTACTTGAGTCAACTCAATTCACCTAGGTGATATCACCTGGGTGAAATAATTCCCAGGTGAATTGAGGACTCCAAAAAGTCTACTTTGTTCACCTAGGTGAAATCACCCAGGTGAACAAAGTGGAATAAACCTGTAGAACATACTTTTTTAAAAAGAGTAATGAATGAAGTTTCTTGCTCGTCCTTCTCCATTCAAATCTACATTTTGGAATGAGCACCTAGCTTCACCTAGCTTCTCTGACGGACTGACTGGCAGACTATTATTTATTTTGTATTTGTTGACATTTCAAAAGTACCTAATTATGGTTTAATTGAAATAGGTGCTTTGACTTTTGCCGTTAGAGATCATCCATAAATTCCGTCACACGAATTTCATGATTTTTTGCCCTCCCTCCCCCTCCCCCCAAGGATGCACATACACATACATGGGGCAAGTACCAATATGACTTCTTCCGAGTTATATGTCCGAGTATTCCGAGTATTCTAAGATTATTTAGACACCACTGACAAATGGTAAAGGAAAACATCGTAAGGAAACCTGGGCTTATAATTTCTAATTATAAGTTTGAAATCGCCAACCCGCATTAAGCAAGCGTGGTGATTTATACTCAAGGACTGCCTCGTTGTCTGAGTGGTCGCAAGTGCGACTGCCGGGCAAGGGGTCTCGGGTTCGATTTCCGGGTGGGGCAAAGTATTACAGGGTTTATTAAAAAAATCCCAGTAGTAGCACAGAGTCCGGGATCGTGCCCGGTATATGGCAATAGGCTCACCCCCTATTACATGGGACTCATAGCAAAAATAGTGAAAAATGGGTGTTGCATTATACAGTGGCATTGAGTGCCGTAATATGCACTTCTGCGTACCCCTTCAGGGATAAAAAGGCGTGATGTTATGTTATGTGTTACTTTTCCGTGTGAGACGAGGCATTTGTCGAACACTGGAATCATTATAATATTTCATAAAATCTACCTGTATTAGAAATCGACATATAATGCCGTTGAGTTCCGTTGACACCACTCAGAATGCTTGGACTCGGATCCCGGGCGAGCATAATTTGCACTTCCATGAGCCGGCCCACTGCTAAATCAACTGTAAACGAATAGACATAAGGTTTGTATTACTATAAACACTTTAGATCACTACTGTGTAAGCGAATAAAGATCGCGTTTTGTCCCGTTTTCATAGTAGACTGCCTCGTGGGTATGTGTTCGATTCCCGGGTAGGGCAAAGTGTTGCTGGGGTATTTAAAAAAAATCTCAGTAGTAGCACGCAGTCTGGAATTGTGCCCGGTATATGGCAATAGGCTCACCCCCTATTACATGGGACTCATAACATTAAACTGTCAAACACCGCGAGGACACCGGTGACCGCAACCTATTGTTCTTTAATTGTGTCTATAATGACGGTACTCAAAGAGTTAATAGTGAAAAGTGGGTGTTACATTACACATGTACTGCCTATCCATCCCTGATATAAGAAAGCATATGGATATTATACTCACGGTTAATATCAGGTATCTTGTCGTAGGCAGACAATATTCTTATCTGAGCGAGCTGCACCAGTTTCGCCGCTACATTTATTGCGCCGGAGTTTAAGTAAAACATCTGAAAAGAAAAACAAATGGTTTAATCATCATCATCATAAGTGTGGGAGAGCCATGCTTCGACACGAATGGGCCGGCTCGACCGGAGTGATACCACGGCCTTACAGAAAACCGACGTGAAGCAACGCTTGCGATGTGTTTCGTCGTGTGAGTGAGGTTACCGGAGGCCCAATTACCCTTCCCTTCCCCAATCTCCCCAATTCGTGAATCCCCAACGATCCTCAAACTCCTAATCCCCAAAAGGCCGGTAACGAACTTGTATTGCCTTTGGTGTTCCGGGTGTCCATGGGCGACGCCAATTGCGTACCATCAGGTGATTCGTCTGCTCGTTTACCGGCTTGTGCCATAATCGGCGTCACCCATGGACACCTGGAACATCAGAGGCGTTACACGTGCGTTACCGGCCTTTTGGGGATTAGGAGTTTGAGGATGGTTGGGGATTAAGGGATTCCACAACGCAAGCATGGTTGACTGCCTCGTTGGCCGAGTGGGCGCAAGTGCGACTGCTGGCCAAGAGGTCTCGGGTTCGATTCCCGGGTCGGGCAAAGTATTACTGGGTTTTTAAAAATCTCAGTATTAGCACGGAGTCTGGAAACGTGCCCAGTATATGGCAATAGGCTCACCCCCTATTACATGGGACTCATAACATAAATAGTGAAAAGTGGGTGTTACATTACATTGTACAGTGGTATAATGACGTGCACCTCTGCCTACCCCTTCGGGGATAAAAGGCGTGATGTTATGTTATGTTTTATGATTCATTTCGTTGCGGGATCCAAGAGAGAAGAAAGAAGAAGATTCATGTTCTAAGGACGTACCGGACTTCAGTGTTCCGGTGTTTTCATGTTAAGAATGAAGTTAAGGAGCCTGGACCTCACGACACAGAGACCTAGTGTGAGGTCCAGTACACAACAAACTTGTTATATTTTCCAAATTTAGAATGGTCATCATCATCAACAGCCTATAAATGCCCACTGCTGAGCAAAGCCTCTTCTCACACGGAGAAGGTTAGAGCATTAATCACCACGCTTGCTCAATGCGGGTTGGCGATTTCAAACTTATAATTAGAAATTATAAGTCCAGGTTTCCTCACGATGTTTTTCCTTCACCGTTTGTCAGTGGTGTCTAAATAATCTTAGAAAGTATATATAACTCGGAAAAAGTCACATTGGTACTTGCCGATGGTAGGTTTCGAACCCGCACCCTCATGCATGAGAAGTGGGCATCTTAAACCTCCGGGCCACCACGACAATTTAGAATGGTAATGCTGCCTAACCTTTGCCCAAGGTAGTAGGCAGCCCTTCGACCACCTGAAGTGTCAACCATCCTCCTTACAATATCTTTGTAAAGAGAAGTGCACTTGGGCCCCACGGCCCTAAAGTTTCAACCCCAAATGGTTAGAAATCATGATTGCAAAAATTAGAACAAATCTTTTTTTCTTTTTTCAAGTGCTTCTTTATCTTTAGCTTTTTACTCAACACTAGCCCAGTCATATTAGGTAAAAAAAGGGGTCAACCTCGGAATGAGAGATAATAAGCTATAAATTGGTATAAACCTTTGTTTTGTCGTGCTAAATGTTGTCTCAAAAGTCACAAATGATACCGTGTCCGCGTCTTAAGATATTGAAGGTCAAAGGTCATAAAAATTGGTTTTTTGTGAATATCTCGCTTTCTATTGCTTAAATGATATTTTTACCTATAATAAAAGTTGTAGAGTATAAAATTCTCTACAATTTTCGTTTTATGTTTTTTTTGATACGATCAACCGTTTTTGAGGTAGAGCGCGAAGAGTGCGCAGCGCACAGTCATATATGGTCCAATGCAAGGTCAAGCGTGAGTTACGGTTATCAGTACGTTATATAAAGTCTATTATTTATTAAATTATTATAATTATTAAACAATGCCCATTATTTATGTACTAATTATTAATTGTTGATATTTTATTAAAATCAGTAACTTAATTATTTATATTTAACTATTCAACTATAGTATATTATTTCTGGAATATATTTTTAGTTAAAACGTCATTACATACGTTTTCTTCAAAACGTGTAAATTTTTTAATACTTATATACCTGAATATACTTGTCCCTACCCTACGACCTTTTCTATTTATAGCCGGGACAGATGTTCTATTGTATTCAAGGCCACTTTCTCTTTTCAGGGACCACTTTGTATTCGTCAAGATTATTCGTTAGTTTGAAATTGTATCTTCGCAACGACGGACGTACGGTTTTAAGAGCTATGGCTGATTTGTGTTTTATATGTGATAAGTCACTTTCAGAAGGTGTTTCTGTGAATGTTGTACGTGGTTTACAAACTTTAAAAACTGCAAGTATTGAAAGAAATGATGGACATATAGACTATTTAAATACTTTAAGTTCTGTGAATGTGCATTCCGAGTGTCGAAAAGTGTACACTAGTAAAAATGCTATTGTTGCATCGAAACGACGCACAGAAGAGGGTGAACCTTCAACGCCAAGTGCACCTCGTAAAAAAAGAAACGAAGTTTTGATTTTAAAAAATTGTGCTTATTTTGTGGCCAAGAAGTAATGAAGTAGCGGAAAGGAAAAAAAAGGAGAAGTATAGACGGACAATAGTAATGTAAGCACTCTAGCGTTTAAAGAGAACGTAATTAAAAAAGCAGAAGAACGCAACGATTCCTTAGGAGAATTAGTAAAGGAACGTATACTTTACGAGTATGATTTGATCGCTGCTGAAGCAAAGTATCATACTATTTGCTATACCAACTTTTTAACTCGAGTACCATCTGCTGATAAGAAGCCGCGCCAAGATGATCAAGTCACTCAAGCAATGAAGGAGATTTTTTTTTATATAGAAAATAATGAAGATTCTCAATTTACGTTGAAAGAACTTAAAGATGTCCTTACGGAGTACATACCCGACGATAAGACGATTATTACAAAACTACAACAAAAGTATTTAACTGACATAATAATTACAAAAAAAATAGGAGCATTTACAATTATATCTTTCCGTGATACACAGGTTAATGTACTATCAAAAGCTTGGTACGAAAATAAAAAAAGCACCCCTGCAGAAGAACGTTTACGTATTGTAGAAGCTGCTGCGGCAATTATTAGGGAAGATATTAGATCATCTGTAGTCGACACTAAGACGTATCCACCTCCAAATAAAATGCTAGATGGTATTAATGAAGAAATACCAAAAACATTATTACATTTTTTAGAAGAAATTATATTAAAGAATAGAAAAGGACAAGTAGATCATTTAAAAACGAAATGCACATCTATCAGTCACGCAATAATGGCTTCGATACGAGAACGATCATTTTCATCACAGCTACTATTAGGCCTTTCTGTATTTCTTCACAGAAGATATGGATCTAAGAAATTATTGGATGTTTTATCAACTTTGGGATTTGCTGCTCCATATAGTAGTGCTGTACAGTATGAAGTTTCAGCAGTTTACCATCCACAGCCTCGTATTTTACCATCAGAGTCAGGTGCATTGGTGCAATATGTTGGAGACAATGCAGATATTAATGTCAGTACTCTTGACGGTAATAATACTCTTCACGTTATGGGAATGATAAAAATAGTTACTCCGAAAGATGCTGTAATTTATGATGATCGTATAAAAAAATGTACAACTAAACCAAGTGCAAAAGAGTTGGCAGCAATATCACATGTATCTCTTTTAGCATATGAAAAGCCAGTTGTACCAGGGTACAGCAAGATTCAAGTCCAAAATCTACATGACGATCAAGTACTAATTGAAAAAAAATTTAATGCTGTTGATTTTTTGTGGTTATACGGAAAATGGAAGAATCTTTCACAGTTGCCAGGGTGGAATGGCTATCTTCAACAACTTACGAAAAATAATAAGAATTTTTCAACTTCTCAAGTTATATTTCTACCTTTCATTGATCATCCGGCTAGTCATTTAGATACAATTTATACCACTTTACATTGTGCTATAAATATTGCCAAGTCACATCAACAAAAGACGTGCATAATTACATTTGATCAACCTCTGTACTCCAAAGCACGTGAAATGATTGCCGCGTCAGATGCAAACTCAGACTTGTCTAAAACAGTTGTCAAACTAGGAGGATTTCATATGCTTATGTCTTTTCTTGGATGCATAGGATATATAATGGACGGTAGTGGTCTTAAGGAAGCTTTAAGTACAATATATGCTACAAATTCGGTCGACAAAATGTTGAATGGTCACGCTTATGCAAGAAGTATCAGAGGCCATACATTATTACGACTTGCATTATCAATGAAGATTTTTGAAGAGATGAAGATTGAAGGTTGTATTTTAGATGAGTTAATTGAACAGATAACTAGTCGCGATGTTTCCTACGAAGATGTTGAAGGATGTACAAGTAGCTCCAACTCGTTAATTGATCAATTTCAGGATAAACTGAATGAATTAAAAGCTCGAGGTCCCACAGCACAGTTATGGGCGCAGTATTTTGAAATGGTATCAATAGCTCTAGATTTCATTCGTGCTGAAAGACTGGGACTTTTTAAAGAACATCTGAATGCAGTGCGAAAAATGTTGCCGTATTTTCATGCTGGTGGTCATTTCCTATATGCGAAATCAGCTCATTTATATCTTCAAGATATGATAAAACTGGAGGAGACAATGGATGAACAGAGTTTTCAGAACTTTAAAAACGGATTCTTTACTGTAAAACGAACAGAAAAATTTAATTCTGGTACATGGACAGACATGGTAATCGAGCAAAGTCTTATGAAATCTATGAAGACAGAAGGAGGAGTATCTCGAGGCCGAAGTACACAAGAAAGTGTTCTATGTAAGTGGTTATATGCTATGTATGCCACGAATACAATTTGTGAAGAAATTGAACGGTTTTGTAACATTTCTTTGGATTCTGTAGACCAACATGTTGATGCTAGAGATTCACGAATAAAAAGGGATAATACTGATGTTAATAAACTGGTTGATTGGTATACTCTTCATAATCCCTTTCCAAATACGAATCAGTTGGTATCCTTAGCTTCAGGAATCGTTGGAAATGACCAAATTAATTGTCACAGAGCCCATGAACTCGGATTGCAATCTATGGAAAAGATAATTGGTTTGAACTTTAATGAGATAAAGTTAAAACGCGTCGATAAGGTTTTGCCGCTTTCAGCCGTTAACAAATCTGTCAATATTAATGATTGTAAAGTCTCTGTAGATCCGTTGTTACTTTTCCAGAGAATAACTGTAAGCAAAAAATTTGAAAATAATCTACAAGAATATCTTCAATATGAACTAAGCCCGTATCCGACATCTTTATTTGATAGTAATGGCATGAGAAAAACCACGAAAGCGACGTTATATGACAATATGCTACCTGTCGATATCGAGCTTGATGAAAATAATGTAACATACATCATCGACGGTGGATTTCTTCTGCATCGCGTCGTATGGAGCAAAGACGATACTTTCTCCATTATTTTAGATAAATACATTCAATATTTACAAACACATTATGGTTCAGAAATTGTTGTTGTATTTGACGGATATTCGGACAATAGTAAAAATATTAAAGCAATGGAACAACAAAGAAGAACTGCTGCACTTTCTAAATCGTATGAAGTTTGTTTTGACGAAACAATGATTGTGCCAATCAGCCAAGAAAAATTTTTATCAAATCGGTCTAATAAAACAAAATTTATCTACATGCTTGTCGAAAAATTAAAAACTATTAATATCACAACAAAACAAGCCAGAGATGATGCTGATGTTCTCATCATCGAGACAGCTATTGCATTATCAGAACATCAAAAGACTGCCGTCATCATAGGAGAAGATATTGATTTGCTCGTTATTTTAATTGGGCGTACTCAATCACATCAACAGGAAATTTTCTTTAAAAAAGTTGGGAAAGGCAATGTTAAGACGAAAATATATTCTTCCAAAAGTTTTGATCAATATCCGCGTACTAAAAAACACATTCTATTTTTACACGCATTTAGTGGCTGTGACACGACTTCTGCGCTATTTAAAAAAGGAAAAAAAACTGTTACTAGAGCATTGGAGAAAATTCCCAATTTGGATAAACTGGTGGAAGTATTTCAACAAGAAAACTGCCCGGTACAAACATTATTTGAAAATGGAGTGCGCATCTTGTTGGCATTATATAATGCTCCAAAATCTGAGGACAACATTGATCATTTTCGCTACCGCAATTCATTAAATTAACGAAACTAAATAAACCTGTACAATTGTCAACACTTCCACCAACAAGTGTAGCAGCTCATCAACATATAAATCGCGTCTACTACCAGATTCAAACGTGGTTAGGGAATGACTTAGAACCTCAAGAATGGGGCTGGATGCTTGAAAATGGAATCCTGGAGCCCATAAGAACGTTATTACCTCCAGCACCAACCGAACTACTAAATATAATATTTTGCAATTGCAAAAATGGTTGTGGTTCCCGCTGTGGATGCCGAAAATCAGGGCTACTATGTTCTTTAGCTTGTGGCCAGTGCAATGGACAAGCTTGCCTGAACGCTGCACAATATCCAAGTAATCCCGATGAAGAAAACGCATACGATCCTGAAATTCTGGAGGGTTTGGAGATGAATATGACCGATAATGAGGATGATGATAATGAATTGAACGTTTTCGAGCGACAACAAGAAGAAGACGACGAAGAAGATGAAGATAACTAGCTTCTATTCACAATTTTATTATAATTAAAACCAATAAAAATTCTTATAATATTTAAACTGACATTTCAACAAATGTATAGTATGGCATATTTAATGATAAATAAAGATATGCATAAAATAGATCCCCTTATTGTCTTTTTAACTGAAAATATATATTCCAGAATTAATAATATACTATAGTTGAATAGTTAAATATAAATAATTAAGTTACTGATTTTAATAAAATATCAACAATTAATAATTAGTACATAAATAATGGGCATTGTTTAATAATTATAATAATTTAATAAATAATAGACTTTATATAACGTACTGATAACCGTAACTCACGCTTGACCTTGCATTGGACCATATATGACTGTGCGCTGCGCACTCTTCGCGCTCTACCTCAAAAACGGTTGATCGTATCAAAAAAAACATAAAACGAAAATTGTAGAGAATTTTATACTCTACAACTTTTATTATAGGTAAAAATATCATTTAAGCAATAGAAAGCGAGATATTCACAAAAAACCAATTTTTATGACCTTTGACCTTCAATATCTTAAGACGCGGACACGGTATCATTTGTGACTTTTGAGACAACATTTAGCACGACAAAACAAAGGTTTATACCAATTTATAGCTTATTATCTTTCATTCCGAGGTGAAACCCCTAAAATGACTGGGCTAACACGGTATTTGACGATCAGTCAAATTCAATACTTTTTTCATACTGTCAAAAACGAAAGTTTTCTATGAATTTTGTACGAGATTGTGTATTGTGACGTCACGTTTTTTTTAGTGTCAAACAGCGTACTTATTTATTAAAACATTGCTGGTAAAATACTAAAATTAAGTTGATCATAAAATCAATTAATGAAAGTGTGATTATTTTTTATTATTATATAAGGTGTTAATAAATTAGCTTCAGGAAATCTAAAGTTTTGTTGAAACATTTATTCCATAATTAATTACGAAAAAATAATTTAAAAAAAAGCTACCGTTCTAAAGTTATTCCACTATTTGTGTTACACGTAAACAGCCTAATATGCGCGCCGTACGGCGTATTAGGCCGTCGACGAAGCCCCGAGCGACCGCGCTGACGCAGGTGTCGTGGTAGGTAAGTACCGCGCGCTTATGTTACTACTGAACTGAACTTAATAATGTTTCATTTTAATAAACGACCACGCGACTCTGTTTAGATTATGTTATTTAACTGATTTGATATGCTTATAATTAAAATAGCATAGCTAGCTACAATGATTAATTATGTCAATTTTTTGAATAGGTAAATACTAATAATAACTCGACCAAAAACCAATACTTCGGTAGTTAGTAGTACTAGTACTAGGTAGTTGGTAGTTACTTAGGTATTTATCATTTACAAGTATTCATCGGAATAAATGCCCGTCTCTAGATACTTAAGTATTAACAAAGAGTCTACCTTATTTACAGAAGATGCTGGAACTTGGAAGTGTCTTCCACCTTGTTCGATGCACAAGTTTGCACGACGCGACGTATTACGTTGTTTTTCACTCGCAATAATGTGTCTCTGTCACTTTTCTATCAAACGCGTTTATTATGCTTATTTTTAATTCGTCCGCGTTTCTAATCTCACTACCACTGACGAGCTGCAGATACATTTTCGCCACTTCTAATGTACCACATTAACATGTCTAAGTACTTGCGGTTACTGTACGTAAACGGCATTATTGAATATTGAACAACAAACAATAAAAAATGGCGCGTGCGATTGATCGGACACAACACTGAACGACACTGAGGGCCACACCCTTCCCGCGCGACAGCTATCGGTCAACTGGCGATCAAGAGAGAGAGAAGTGGGAAAGAGAGCGGGGCAACTAGCGAACGGGAGAGAGGGAGAAAAAGAGAGAGATTGCGATAACATGGGGACGGTGACGGCGCGCCATTGCTTCGCTCGGGCCGCAAGCGCAGCTCCACGTACGGTTTGCAAAAAAACTTTTAACCAACTCCTTTTTTTTGTTAAAAATAAAAGTCGTTAAAATTGTTAATTTTTTTTTTTGCTAAACGTGTCAGTTTATTGATTCCCACCAACCACATAAAATATTTAGAGCTAATTTTTTAACACCTTATATTGTAATGAACAGTTGAAATAATTCATTTTTGATTAAGAAAAGTACTTAATTATGTTGTGTAAAATAGACACGTGTCAAGTCGACATTTTTCTTTCAACTAAATCTGAATAAATTACACTTACCGCGACATCACACAGAAAAACGACACCGCATTCAGTATTATCGACGTTTATCATAATTTCAGTGAAATATTCGGTCGCTTGGGAGAGTATATCTTGAAGTGCAGCCGACTGCTGAAGGGTAGAGAGCAAGACACCTGCGTTGCGTATGTACGATACTCTGAAATAAGAAAAAAAAGTAAAATTAAGTGATCGAGTGAAAAACAGTGTCATTAGAGAAAAGTGTGGATTGAAAGATGATGTAGTGACAAGGATTGAAAAGGGAATGTTACGCTGGTTTGGACATGTAGAAAGGATGGATGAAAGTAGAGTAACGAAAGAAATATACAGAGCGGATATGAATGGAGCCGTCGGTTGAGGGTGCCCTAGGCGGACATATAGTGTCGCGGAGAACCTAACGGGTTACCGGGGCTCCGGCTCGACGTGCAGGAGAAGCAACGGGGTGGTTTTTAGTCAGTAAGTGTCTGACACTCCCTCTCGCGTCATCCAGGCGGGAGGAGTCTTTCAATGATTTACCCTCTTAAAAAAAAGACGGACATATGACTGACGGACTGACTAGATTGGCGATATATTAAAGAAGGGCCAAATTAAAAGTACCCTTAACCGACGAGCATGCATGAAAAGACTGATGGCTGTTGATGAAGTTAAAGAGGTATGCAAGAATCGTAGCAATTGGCGTTCCATAGTTTCTGTCTACCCCCATAGGAGACAGGCGAGAGTTTATGTATGTAGATAAAATAAACAAATATCTTCTTCATAAATATGTTGCCCTACAATAGAATATCGGAGTCGCGGAGAACCTAACGGGTAACCGGGGCTCCCGCTCGACGTGCAGGAGTAGGAACGGGGTGGTTTTTAATCAGTAAGAGTCTGACATTCCCCACGCCTCACCCAGGGAGCAGTCATTCGATGATTTTCCCCTCTTAACCGCGGCTTTACTCGCGTCACGAAAGGATAAAAAGTAGCCTATGTGACATATACCAATACACACAGCGCCATCTATACCAATACTTTTGTTTTCCCTCGGTAATATCAATTTTTTACGGGATAAAAAGTACCCTATTATTTAATCCGGACTTCTAACTTTACGTCTGCAAAAATTCAAACCAATCGGTTAAGTAGTTACGGCGTGAAGGCGGAACAAACAAACAAACTCACTTTCGGATTTATAATATTAGTAAGGATAGTAAGGATACTAGTCACTCCCGCGTGGTTTCACTCACTGCTCTGCTACTTCAACGAAACACAAGTTCAAATCAAACAAGTACCAAGTTCCTGAGATAAGTGCTTTCAAAGAAACAAACAAACTCTTTAGTTTGAAACATTAAACTGCCTCGTTGGCCGAGTGGTAGCAAGTGCGACAGCCGGGCAAAGTATTACTGGGTTTTAAAACAAAAATGTTAGTAGTAGCACGGAGTCTGGAAAAGTGCCCGGTATATGGCAATAGGCTCACCCCCTATTACATGGGACTCATAACATAAATATTGAAAAGTGGGTGTTACTTCTGTGTGCACCTCTGCCTACCCCTACAGGGATAAAAGGCGTGATGTTATTTTATGTGAAACATTAAAAAGGTAGTTTCAAAGTAATTATTACGAAAAAACTATTATGATTCAACTTACTTATCATCCAAGTACGCAGCGAGCTGGCAGCAGACATGCGCCAGTTGCAGCGCGTGCGCCGGCCTGCTGTAGTACTGCAACTGATGGACGAATATCTCCGCCAGCTGGACAGCGGGCCGCAGCAGGGGTTTTATGGTAACTGCAGAGAAGAAATTATAATAACAATAACAAACTACATAGACTGCCTCCTTGGCCAAGTGGTTGCAAGTGCGACTGCCGGGCAAGGGGTCTCGGATTCTTTTTCCTGGTCGGGCATAGTATAACTCGGTTTTTTTTTAATTCTCAGTAGTAGCATGGAGTCTGAAATTGTGCCCGGTATATGGTAGTAGGCTCACCCCCTATTGCATGGGACTCATAACATAAATAGTGAAAAGTGGGTGTTACATTGTACAGTGGCATAAGGTGCATCTCTGCCTACCCCTTCGGAGATAAACAGCGTGAAGGCGGTCTCCGACTGGACTGACGCTAACTTGGTTAGGTTTAACGCTAGCAAATCCCAGGCGTGTCTCCGCCAAACGGAGTCCATTTCCGTTGACTCCTACTTTCCGGAATGTATCCATTCCGATAACTGATCATCTTGAGCTTCTTGGTGTAACTCTGACGCCCACGCTCAACTTTGGCTCCTATATAGAGTCAAAAGCGCAACTGGCTGGTAGGAAGTTGGGTGTCCTATGGAGGGTGAGACGGTACTTCACGCCGAGACAATTGCTGAGCCTGTACCAAGCACAGGTTCGGTCCTGTATGGAGTACTGCTCTCATCTTTGGGACGGCTCGGCTAAATATCAGCTGGACGCGTTAGAGCACATTGAGAGGCGTGCCAGGAGGCTCAACGACGATGATGCGCTTGTGAAGGCTCGGCTTCAAAGCCTCGAACACAGGCGTAAGGTTGCAAGCCTTTCGGTTTTCTACCGGATACATTTCGGGGAGTGTGCGGGGGAATTGCACAACTTGATTCCCCCTAGTCCTTTCCATCATCGTACCACAAGACAATCGGCTAAGCGTCACCGATTCATGGTAGATGTCCCCACACGCACGAAGCGTTTCGCAACAAGCTTCTGATAAGGAGTGGAATTCTTTGTCAGAGTCTGTATTTCCTATAGGGTATAACCTGGGTGTCTTCAAGGCCCGAGTGAATAGGTTGCTTATGGGACGACGCGTTCCATCGTAGACCGCGTCATCGCTTACTACTAGGCGAGATAGAGGTCAAACGTCGGCCATTCAAATTTAAAAAAAAAACAAAACCAAAAATAAGGTTGTAAATATATATAGGTACCAGTGTTAATAACCGCCAACAGCTCAGTCCACAGTTCTACGGCCTGCAGAGCTCTGCGCAGCGCGGTCTGTTCCTGGGGCAGTGTGCGCATCGCTTGTTGAATATCCGGGTCTATATTCTGTAAAATAATCAGATAATATAGTCAAATTTAATTCATTAATTCACACAAAAATAAATTTCGAATCAGTAATTCTGTAGATTTTTTTATGGGATTAGCCGGTAAACGAGCAGACGGATCACCTGATGGTAAGCAATCGGCGTCGCCCATGGAGGATGTTTAAGCCCGCCAATGGAAGGTGTCAGCAACACTTATGGAGTTATGAAGGGGAAGTGCGGGATACATTTTTTTTTTATGAAATAGGAGGCAAACGAGTAGACGAATCACCTGATGGTAAGCGATCAGCGCCGCCCATGGACACCCGCAACACCAGAGGAGTCACAGGTGCGTTGCGGGCCTTTTAAAAAGGAGTACGCTCTTTTTGAAGGTTTGAAGGTCGTATCGATTCGGAAATACCGCCGACGACTGATCATTCCACAGTTTTGCTGTGCGAGGCATTTAGGGATGATTAGGAATTTGAGGATTAAATATTATGTTTTCGGCTTACTTACGTAACTGTACCTACAAGCGCGACGCGTCGCTTGTCGCGGAGTGCTGCTAATGCATATAAGCCTCTAGCATGGCTTGAAACTAGTCGAGTTCCTCGTCAAATAATTACGTAAGTAAGTCAAAAACATAATAATTAATCCTCAAATTCCTACTCATACCTAAATGCCTCGCATAGCAAAACTCCGCCATTCACTGTTATCTTTGGTGAAGAAGTAATCCTTATCCTTACTAATATTATAAATCGGAAAGTGAGTTTGTTTGTTCCGCTTTCACGGCGTAACTACTAAACCGATTGCTTTGATTTTTTGCAGACGTAAAGTTAGAAGTCTGGATTAAATAATAGGGTACTTTTTATCCCGGAAAAATTTGATATTCCCGAGGGAAAACAAAAGTATTGGTTTAGATGGCGCTGTGTGTTTTGGCCGTGGGTGAAAGCTAGTAAATAAATAAAGTAATAATATAAATCGCGTTACCGGCCTTTTAGGGATTAGTAATTTGAGGATTAATTATTATGTTTTCTTCCTTCATATCTTTCCTTCTCCTTCTGGACTCCTTCTGGAGATCAGCTCGTAAAACAAACGAACTCTTTAGTTTTATATTTGTATAGATGAAACCTACCGTTTCAGTAGCTTTCCAATTATATTTGTTGCTGGCCTCAGCTATATCGTACTCGGCCTGAAGGAACAGCAGTATCGTTTGAGCGAGGCGCACGTCCGATGAAATCGGTTCCTGGAAGAAGTGAAATTAATATTATTTTAAGGAGGGAAAGTCATCGAATGACTGCTCCCGCCTGGGTGAGGCGGGAGGGAGTGTCAGACTCTTATTGACAAAAAACCACCCCGTTCCTTCTCCTGCACGTCGAGCCGGAGCCCCGGTAACCCGTTAGGTTCTCCGCGACTCCGAATCGACATCGGACCTATTGGGCCCCATCTGTGGTGGTCTAATGGCTCTTTGAACGCTCGGCGCCGTACGCTCGGGTCTGTTTCTGGTCGGACGGGGAGCCACCCATGCTCGCCGTCCGCAGGCCCGCGCTTACGGTGGCCGGAGATCGTCCCGCGATCCCCGACGCCCGGTGTGTCCTTTGCGATGGCTGGGTTGCGAGTTTAATTTAACTCGTCGAGTACCGTACTTATAGACACAATTAAAGAACAATAGTTTGCGGTCACCGGTGTTTGACAGTTTAATATGGGATTGATTTTTAGTCATAAAATGTTTCATTTCGACTTAAAATATTGAAACATAATTAAAGGTGTAATAACCACTTTCGGTTTGACGATATACTTAATTTTCGCACTGAGTTAATTTAAATCTCCGAAGGATTTAAATAGTATAATTTAAAGGAATAGGGTAGATGACTAATTTTTTGTTTAATATCCGTCTGGTAGATTATTTAAAAACATTACACACGTATTTTTTATTTTCTTACGGAAACAAATAGTTTTGATGATATATTGATTTGAAATATCGCACGACGTCACTTTTGAGTACGATTTATACTCTAAAATAACGTAGCTAGCTCCCACTCCTGAACTTTGATTGGTTTTATCTAAGTATTGTTTTATTATACGACAAAATAAAAAAATACGTGTCTAATATTTTTTCATTACCTAACTGACATACTAATTAGATTTTTAATTTTCATACCCTGTCATCATCCCTATTAGGCAAGCATCGAACCCAAGACCCCGTGCACTTTAATTGACGAGGCAGTCTAGATAAGTGGTGTCCTAAGTTCCATTCATAATTTATTTTAAATGAAGGGGGTAAAATCATCGAATGACTTCTCCCGTCGCGGGAGACTCTGGGCGTCGGAGACCACGCGACGATCTCCGGTCACCTGTGCGGGTCTGCGAACGGCGAGCAATGGTAGGTCGCCACCAAACCAGACCCGAGCGTACGGCGCGTTGCGTTCCGAGCGCACCTCAAAGAGCCATCAGACCACCACAGATGAGGCCCAGTAGGGCTGATGCCCCGATACGGAGCCACGGAAGGTCTAACAGGTTGCCGGGGCTCCGGCTCGAAGAGCAGGAGTAGGAATGGGGTGGTTTTTAGTCAGCAAGAGTCTGATGCCGGAATACTGAAACGTTACTCAATTTTAAGTCGTGCTCAAATATCGTGCCATCTCTGTCATTTTACAAAGAATTTGTAGAGACAGAACTATACTTAAGCACGACTTAAAATTGAGTAGCGTTTCAGTATTCCGACATGACACTCCCGCCTCGCACAGGCGGGAGAAGTCATAGGATGATTTTCCCCACTCAAAAAAATAAATAATAAAAGTGCCATTAATATTATTTAAAAATTAATGAAAAAAAAAACAATAACCCTTTTCATAAATACTCACAGGCATCTTCTCAATGTTCTCCAATAACTCTGCAACGACCACTTTGAAATGATCAGCGTGAATAGTTCTCACCGCGGCCGGAGTCAGCGATATAACTCGTAGCAGCGTCCAAAATATGACATCTGTGTTTTCCACTGAAATAAATACATAAATATTATATTTATTTTTTATTCGACTGCCTCGTTGGCCGAGTGGTCGCAAGTGCGACTGCCGGGCAAGGGGTCTCGGGTTCGATTCCCGGGTCGGGCAAAGTATTACTGGGTTTAAAAAAATCTTAGTAGTAGCACGGAGTCTGGACTGTGCCCGGTATATGGCAATAGGCTCACCCCCTATTACATGAGACTCATAACATAAATAGTGAAAAGTGGGTGTTACATTGTACAGTGGCATTAAGTGCCTCTCTGTACCTACCTCTTCGGGAATAAAAGACGTGATTTTATGTTACGTAATACTTTAAATTACCTGTAATCCATTTCTCTTGTCTGCCATTAAGAAGCGAGTGAAGGGCGCGCCAAACTCCGGCCACCGGCGCAATAGACGGCCATAACTTGCAGTACATTTCAAACTCATGTTTCAGAAGTGAACTGTAATAAAATACTTAATTATTTTAGACTAGCTTTTACCCGCGGCTTCGCTCGCGTCACAAAAGGATAAAAAGTAGCCTATGTGACATATACCAATACACACAGCGCCATCTATACCAATACTTTTGTTTTCCCTCGGGAATATCAAATTTTTTTGGGATTTGGGATTGGTAGCCCATTATTTAATCCAGACTACTAACTTTACGTCTGCAAAAATTCAATGCAATCGGTTTAGTAGTTACGGCGTGAAGTCGGAATAAACAAACAAACAAACTCACTTTCCGATTTATAATATTATAGTAAGGATTTTTTTTTTTTAAGGGGGGAAAATCATCGAATGACTGCTCCCGCCTGGGTTAGGCGGGAGGGAGTGTCAGACTCTTACTGACTAAAAACCACCCCGTTCCTTCTCCTACACGTCGAGCCGGAGCCCCGGTTACCCGTTAGGTTCTCCGCGACTCCGAAATATTAGTAAGGATAGTCTCACACAATACTGACTTTTACTCCTATTCCTTCACTGTTGATGCAGTGCGACTTTGGAATTCCCTACCACCTAACATCCGTAACTCTAAATCCATCCCAATCTTTAAAAGACTCGTAAGGGAGCATTACCATTCCTCATGTTGTGCAAATTAGTGTCATAAATATATGTATAATATTTTTATTTGTGGAATTGTGCCCGGTATATGGCAATAGACTCACCCCTTATTACATGGGACTCATAACATAAATAGTGAAAAGTGGGTGTTACATTGTAGTGGCATTAAGTGCTATAATGTGCACCTCTGCCCCTTCGGCGATAAAAGGCGTGATGTTATGTTATGTTATAATAAAAAGTAATGTTTTAACCGACTTAAAAAAGGAGGTTCTACGTTTGACCTGTATGTTTGTAGTTGTACGCAATTATCTATCGTTTAACTGAACCGATTTTGATGCGGTTTTCAAAAAAATGTTAATTACACTTAGGAGAAGATTTTAGTACATTAAGTAATCAACCCAAAACTACTTTACCCAACTCAGGCATCGAACCTAAGACTGATATCTCAGTAGTCACGCTTTTGATAAGTCGACCAATAGGATAGACAAATATTTAACACGTATCCTCCTCTGCCTACCCCACAACAGCCAACAGTCGCGGAGAACCTAACGGGTAACCGGGCTCCGGCTCGACGTGCAGAAGAAGGAACGGGGTGGTTTTAGTCAGTAAGAGTCTGACACTCCCTTCCGCCTCACCCAGGCGAGAGCAGTCATTCGATGATTTTCCCCCCTTAAAAAATAAAATAAAAAAAAACCCCACAACAGCCTAAAAATGTTAAACACATACCTGAACTTAACTTCTTTCAAAAACGGCTTCAAATCTCCATACAATTTATTTTCCGTGACAGTTCTACAAGCATCCACCACGGAGGTCATCTGAAGGTCATCAGTTTTGTCATCAGTCTCATCATCATCACTTTTCAGAGCTTTCGCCTTGATATCCATCACCAAACTCATATACTTATCAGAATTAAGGTCTTTTGCAAAAATCAAGCTCAAAAAACCATCCAATAATGCTTGTTCATGCTTCTTATAGTCCAACTCACATATGCTCTTATTATAAAATGCTCGCGCCACATTTTTATGCTCGAACTCATTCAAATTAATGCTCAACTCATTTTTTATATAAATTTCAAATAAATTGATTGAAAATTCGTATTTTTGGTTCTTGTTCAGCGCTATGGCTGTGTTGTGCGTATCTGTTTGTAGTTTTCTATAAAATTTGTCGTAGTTAACACATTTTTGGTGTTTTAATTGACACATAATTGAGTATTGTTGATCTATGACGTTTTTGTACACTGCTAATAACCTTGTCATATCAATGTTTTGCTGTATCGAAGCCGAGATGAAATGCTTGACCAAGAAAGACAGTCTTAAAGCATCGTGCAAACCAGTTTTTACAGAACAATTTTCACATTTCAATAACTGTTCGCAGTTTTTCAACTCATTCAGTAGTTTCAGCATGAAATTCAGGCAATTTTCTTGCACTTCCGCCGTAAAATGGGCCTTAATACCATTGTTAATAGAGTATTCGATGAATAATCTTAAAAATTGTGCTATGAAGGGGTATGAAGTTGCTATAGTTGACTCATAACCCAGTTTCACGGTGATATCACATGACAGTGTAAGATTTTTGAAGACAGTGTCCAAATAAGTAGTCTTATTGAGAAAAATATCGCAGAAAGAATTCAAATAGAAGGTTTGTAGACAGTGGAAGAAGTCCGGCTTATGTCCAAGAAGAGTTATGGCCGTTCTCACAGCGGAATTTATAGCTGAATTTTTAAACAGACCTTTTGAAGAATTCTCAGCGACAACATAGAAACAATCACTGAATTTTGCATATACATCTAATAATTCTTTATCTTTGAGCTTTTTCATAGCATTCAAATCGGTCTTCTGTGATAATTTCTCAAAGATCTCCTTGTAAAAGCCGTTGAGCACTTCGGAATGAGATTCGCTGTATATAAAATGCATTTTCTTGACTAAAAATACTAGTATATTGGAGCAGAATTGAGCTGTGTCATATATTTCTATAGTCTTCAATATATCTTCGTTTAATTTCGGTAATAATTTGTGTATTGATTTCCCTCTTAGTTTTTCTATATAGCAGAGTCTGTCTGCTATTATATTCCAGTAAGTCTTGCTATATTCTTTTAAAAGAATCTTTGGTTCTGCTTCAAAAGCCATGAAGGAGAGTTTCAGTATTAATTCTGGAGGTATCTGTTTATTCTGTAAGATAGAAATAAATTGATTATTTACTAAATATGTCGTGGTGGCCCAGAGGGTACGGTTAGGCAAGACCTCCACTCCTCATGCATGAGGGTGCAGGTTCCAGATCTACCAATGGCATATACCAATGTGACTTTCTCCGAGTTATATATACTTTTAAAGATTATTTAGACACCACTGACATACAGACAAATGGTGTAGGAAAACATTATAAGTTTGTAATCGCAAACAAGTGTGGTTATTAATGCTCAAACCTTCAACGTGTGAGAAGAGGCTATGCTTAGCAGTGGGCATTTATAGGCTGTTAATGAAACTTCTGAACGATCACATCAAAGGCGCATGCCGCATAACTTGCATAAGTGTGAGCGAGAGATCTGATAAAAATGACCTGTGACAGTTCGCACATTTCTAATGGCCTAACTAAGAAAACTAAAGATTTTTTAGACATATGATGACTGCACGGTTTGTGCGGTGGCTGGGCAACCGGCTGCCGTGCAACGTGTCGCGGGTTCAATTCCCGCACGGAACAACACTTTGTGTGATCCACAAATAGTTGTTTCGGGTCTGGGTGTCAATGTGTATGTGAAGTGAACTTGTATGTTTGTAAACGCACCCACGACACAGGAGAAAATGCTAATGTTTTATGAAAAAAATATACATACCAATCTAACAACATATCTATGTATATGGTAGATACAGGCCAATGTTTTGACCTGTTCAGCCTTGTTTAGTCCTCTCGACTCTCTGATACAGTCTATGGTTAGAGTTAGCAACTCTTTGTTATCTATACTATCTCGCCATGAAGGCGCTTTGTCGATGTTCCTGAAAAAAATGCATAGAATTAATTAATATATTTATTTATTAACACTTCTGTATATTAAACATACGATGGTGGACTTAATGCCGGGTGGCATTCTCTAACAGTCAACCATGGGGTGATGCATGATTAATGTGATTAATGTTATTTTCAAGAATGTTGAATTAACAATTGTATAGAAGTGGGTTGTAGAAGGCCTAATTTAAGAATCAAACCTGTGACCACTTGTCTTATAACTTGGACTGTAGCTTTATGTAGTTTTAGAAAGATGAAGTAAAAAACACCTGTTTCTGGTTTTAATCTGTCAAGCACCAAGCGGTCACCGGTGACCGCGATCTATTGTTCTTTAATTGTGTCTATAAAACTGGTACTCGACGAGTTAAATGGTCATGATGTATGGAAATTATTGATTTATAAGCTTATAAATAAATTTAAAACTTAAATAAGATTAACTTTTGAGCATTAACAATGTGTTTTTAGTAACCAAAGTTCAAATGGTACAATTAGACAAAATTGTTCAGAAAATGAAACAAATGCATAATTTAAAATGGGTTCCTTCTGTTTATAGTCTCACAGTTTAAACTGTGAGTGTTTTCAAATAGGATAAGAAGAGCATAGTAGCCGAAATATGGGCTAAACAAGTCAAAATTCACACTCAGATTTGACCAGTTCGTCGTTTGGCCATTACACACGAAATTTCATAATTATTTTGGTTTTGTTGTTTATTAACGAATTAGATTTACCTGCACAATAAACATAACACATTTAGCGAGAAAGATCCTCTTTCTTTCGACGATAACTTGGAAGAAATCACTTTATAATCGTTGTACACTTTATCTAAGTTATTCCAATCCTTTTCGTCACCATTCGCTTTGATTTTCACTAAAAAATCATTGGCTTCCATTTTATTTTAGAATACAATTTTCAAACATCACACAATTAAAACGTTTAAACAATATTTTGTAGATAAAATTGATTTAATAAATTCAAATCACAAGTTTTGGCCGTTATGTTTTAAAACGTCAGACATTTCAAGTTCAACAAAAATATTCCTGTCATCAACGAAAACGTACTCGAAATAAAGTCGTTCTGGCCAATGACAAAAGACCTTTGACTTCAAGCCAATCAAATCATTGGGTTAGATGGATTACGGTAGATAGTAATTCTACAAGCTGGAAACAAACTAAACAAAACGTTCCGAAACCGAAGTAATCATTTACATTTTGTTTAATCTTGTCTTTTAATTAATATACACGATTACCTACTTATTGACTACAAATCTGTTGTAAATGCGCGTTTGTGCGTCATAGAATATTTTAAAAATGTAGGCTTCGCCATCTTTCAGTCTTCGAATCTGTAAAAGTGTAAAGAAACGTAAAAAAGACTACGTTTAGATATTTTTATATAATACTATTATTTGTCAATTTACCTTACTTGTCTATCAGATAAAGTCTAAATTAAACTTTTGTTTGTATTGTAATATAATATTAAATGCATATAAGTCAAAATATTTATTAAAAATTACAAAATCGGGTTAGTCTTAGTTCATTACGTTTTGTTATCAATCAAGTTGATATCAGCCAGCCATGTCATGTCAGAAATTTGTTAGTCAAAGCGTCAAAAAAGCCGCCATTTGTTGGTTATTAATTCGATCATTTGTAATAATTCTTTCGGCAAGTTAATAAATAATACGCTATAAATAATCAATCTAATATATAATTTAATGGCGAAAGGACATTATTACTATTACTAAGTACAGCTACTGTCAGCTCCTCCGGGAGTATATTCACAAACGCTAAGAGTTTTACATCGCAGTAAGTATTTCCTACATTAACATCGATTTATTTCGGCATCTAGGGACGCAAGTGCAACGATAATTAAAACCAAACTTCCTATAACAACTCATTTACTTTTTGACAATATTTTTTTCTTATTAGATTCTTTTATACCCGCCATTTCAAAAAACTTTACTTGCAAATTATTTCCTAAGTTTTTCTATTTCACTAATTATATACCTCAAAATTATGACGCTTACAGTTCAAAGCTGATTATCTAATTAGATGTTGGCATATAATGAATATGGTAGGGAAAATGGCAACCAAACCACAAAAATGCTCCAAGGTTTGATTCCTAGGCTGAACAAAGCGTTATATTCATATTTGTAGCCAAAAAAGTCAATAATTAATTTCAATTAGCCCAGGCAGACTTTTGAAAGTCAACAACAAAAAAATTAAAAGTGAAGCTATTTGCTCATTCCTAGGTGTAGATTCCTATGGAGAAGAACGAGCAAGAAACTCCATAGGTTACTCTTTTTCAATCGGGTTCACAATACAATTTTCCAGTTACATAGTTTTATTCTATAACATGCCCTTAACATGCCCAGGATCTTCTATAACATGCCCTTAACAATACTCATTCACCAAAATTTAGATTAGACAGCACTTAAAACCTGTTTACCAATTTACAAAAAGTTTTTAAAAGTTATACAGATCATAAATATACTATTTCTTCCTTCACTCTTATGTCATATAAATTATATAAATACTATGATATCATGCACCCATCTTTAACCTTTAACTACTGGTGTGGGTGTCTCATAGACGGTGTGTTCACAAATATAAATTTAAACCAATTTTCCAAAAATATAGATTGTAACATATATTTTTTTTATGATATGCAAAATATAGTTCATAGAATTTGAACCAAAAACCGATGATTTCATTCGAAAAATGTTGTTTTTTTGCACTTTCTTAATAGAATAATAATGGACAGATGATCATACAAGTTAATATTGTGCAAATTAGTAAATAAAAGTAATCCATTTCGATTATTTATTAAGGTGTTTGACATACGTCACATCACCATTTATGGTATGAGTAAACCACATCAGGACTTGAAGGTTATTTTTAATAAACTTGAAAGAAAGAAAAATACAGTCAAAATAAAAACAAAACATTAACTCGTCGAGTACCCGTTTTATAGACACAATTAAAGAACAATAGGTCGCGGTCATCGGTGACCGCTTGGTGTTTGACAGTTTAATAATAGATTTTATAAAAGAGAAAAAAAATGAACAAAAATCATTAAAGCATAACAAAATATAATCCTTACTATCCTTACTCCTTACTAATATTATAAATCGGAAAGTGAGTTTGTTTGTTTGTTCCGACTTCACGCCGTAACTACTAAACCGATTGCATTGAATTTTTGCAGACGTAAAGTTAGTAGTCTGGATTAAATAATAGGGTACTTTTTATCCCGAAAAAATTTGATATGCCCGAGGGAAAACAAAAGTATTGGTATAGATGGCGCTGTATGTATTGGTATATGTTACATAGGCTACTTTTATCCTTTTGTGACGCGAGCGAAGCCGCGGGTAGAAGCTAGTTAGAATAATAACTTCTTAATCCTAATCTTTTAAAACTTAAACGAAGTAAACTACCCAAGGTAGCATCTAAAATAAGATTAACTTGTGTTTTTCAGGTACGCAACAGAATGGGGCTTGCAAATTACCCCCTGCTACTCTTTGGCCAAGTCATCTCATACTTCCTCGCATCAAAATTAATATTCGACAAGGTTAACGAAACCATACACATTGTTATCGATGAATACTTCCATATACCGCAAGGAATAGCGTATTGCAATGGAAACTATTCCTACTGGGATCCGAAGATAACGACTCTGCCAGGCTTGTATCTTGTATCATCGGTCGTTGGCACATATTTCAAATGCAATACGTACAATTTACGGTTCGTCAATCTGATAGCGTCATGTGTGAACTTAGTACTATTTTCCAGCATCTTACGGTTTGTCTACTTCAGTGATAGAAATCATATGAAAATTATTTTGCAAGCAGTTAGCCTAACTATACTGCCTCCATTATATTTCTTTTCACATGTCTATTACACCGATGTCCTCTCCGTAACTTTCCTGTTGCTGTTTTCAAGATTATGTTTGACAAACCGATACTTTTTCATGATTTTGATAAGCGGTGTGTCTTCTATAATGATGAGACAGACAAATGTTGTATGGATTGCTATGGTGTTCGGTCATAAGTTGCTGGATTTATTAATTAAGAGTTCCAGAGTGTTCGGTAACCAGTATATTAACGATGTGAGGTTGAGTAAGCGTTCGCTCATAGCCAAAGATGTGGATAAGTCTAAATTGAAACGGTACTACGGATTAAAAGATGTGTACTTTGCAGCAAGATATCATTTGTCAACTGGTTTGACAACATTCTTCAAGTTTTTATCGTTCCACGATGCTACCATATTGTTCACTCATCTGATGATACTCAGCGGTTTTGTAGCTTTTGTTTATTACAACGGTTCCATCGTTGTTGGAGACAAAACTGCTCATGAAGCTACTCTCCATTTACCCCAATTGCTGTACTTTTTACTATTCTACGGAGTCTTCGGTTTACCTTATGTTGTGAATCGGTTGAAATCTACACTAAAATTGATGTATAGGCAGAAAATCTTAGTTTTATTGTCGATTTTGGTCTTTATATTAACAGTGCACTTCAATACCTTAGTTCATCCGTACTTGGTAGCCGACAACAGACATTTCACATTCTATATCTGGAACCGATGGTTTGGCAAATATGAGAATGCCATTTATTTGACCGTACCGGTATATGTTTTTCTTCTATTCAGCATTTATGATAATTTGAGGGAACAGAATTGTATTTCGTTTTTGTTACCGTACACAATCTGTTTGGTTCTTAGTTTAGCGTTGCAGAAGTTGATAGAAATTAGATATTTTTTGGTACCGTACATTGTTTTAAGGTTAAGGTTCGCCAGACCGTCTCATATGGTGATTCTGTCAGAATTTCTATGGTATATTTTGATAAATGCGGCCGCTTTCCACGTTTTTTTCAATAAAGAAGTCATGTGGAAGGATTTCGATTATGTTCAGAGGATAATTTGGTAGATTTAAGTCTTAAAAAATGCGAATAGTTATAGAAATGTTCTTGGAGTTATTTTTCTAGTCCAGAGAAACCAGTCTTTTGCATGAGTGGAATTGCGGTTAAAGATAATATAATTGTCATAAGGCCCGGATTATATGCAACGTGAAAGTGCCAAAATTTGCACCAGAAAGCCGAAAAAATGGCATTATATGTGCATCAAAGAGCCTGAAATATACCTAAAGTGTGTTTGATTCAGAACATAGATTTCCGAGATCAACACTGAAGTCTTTGGCACAACTGAAGAAACGTGTTTAATGCGTTTTAAATTCATATTTTCAGTAAAATATTGCCTAACTTTCGACATAAATAACAGTCATTTTCATTTAGCTTTTTTCAAACTACCAATACTAGCCGGACATCCACCGCCATCTAAAATAGGTTAGGTTTAGCTCGAATGGTTGTGGCAGTTTGTCATTCTGTAACGGCAACCCTTAATAGCTATCTCCTGTCGTGTGCCCTGATGTGACTGGCCAGACCGAATTTAGTTCACCGCAAACTATGCTAGCTAAGGTGCCAAATTACTATTACACTTTGGGACAACAAAGGAGTGGAACACCATGACAGTATATGTGTTTCCTGAAGGGTAAAACCTGGGTGTCTTCAAGTCCCGAGTGAACAGGGTGCTTATGGGCAGGCGTGCTCCATCATAGGCCGTATCATTGTGCACCATCAAGCAAGATAGTGGCCATACCCCGACCAAGAAAAGAAAAAAAGTGGCTCAATTATGCGAGCTAAACTGACTTACATTTTAGCTAGCGGTGAATGTTTAGCTGTCTACTTCATCATTCAAAAAGAACCAAAAATAAGCACAAATACTAATTATACGCATTTCTATATAATCCGGGCTTTAGTCATAAATGGTGACCAATGGGTCCTTAAATGTAGACTAAGAATTCGTTTTAAGATTGTTAGAATAATTCGTAATAGAAATTAGACATTGAAAAATGGCTCAAAAAGGCACCAAGCTACAATGCCATTAGTATTTTGAACATATTGTGATTTTTAAAAATTCTGGTCGCTCTACGGTAAGCACCATGCTACAAAAATGCCAT